TCAAACTGAAAGCAGAGATATCAAGCAGAGGCTTCAGGTAGATAAATCTGGCCTTGAAGTTGTTTTATTAGGCCTACTTGATACAGATACATATATATAAATTAATTGAGAAATTGACATAAAGATCCAGATTTGCAGCTTCTCTTGGAAAATGGAAGAATCTGTTAAAATTGATCAACATTCTCACTAGCCAAGGATCAAGTAAATCTGAGTAGTTGACATCCTCCCTCTAACTCTATCTCCAATTCATTACAAGTCTCCTTTTATCATTCCCTTGTGATATCATGGCTGCCTACTAACTCACTCACATGCCCTGCCTGAGTCTTGAAAGCTTTAAGGTGTTCTGTGTTTCATGTGAACTTTCTTTCAGAAACTTGAAGCAAAGACCTTCAGGATGGTTCCAGAATCAAGGGAAAGAGCAGAAGTTAACAAAAACTGAGGAGATAGGGAGTGAGGGACAGATGGAGACTAGAGAGATAGAGAAAACTCTCAGTTGCCCATCTGAAGTAGATTTTTTATGCATTTATAGATAATTTAATGAATGGTACATCATCTGGATTCCATTGGAAGGTGTGATCACCTACAGCTGGCTTTTTTTTTTTTTTTTCCAGAAAATGTACTTACATAAATAATAAAAGTATCACATGTAAAATAGGAATGATAATACTTATTTATAAAACTGTTGGGATTAAATCCAGTAATGTAAGTGAATGTGATTTATAAGCTGCAAATCTTTATACAACATTAAATGGCATAATGGTGATGATGATGATGGGTCTATATATGTATGTAGCATGATTTTCAGTTTGAGAGAATGGTTAGATTACCCATATAGAGTCTTATTTCTTGCTTTTTTTGACTTATTACATTCACTGAACATCTGTTATTGAAAATGGAAAAGATAGAAAACCCATTAGTAATGACCACTGTGACATGGATTCATTTACCACTTATTTAGCTTATTTCCTTTGCTTTCTAAGCCCTGTAGCCTAGAGTCTCAAAAACAGAGAGGAACAAAATTTCTGAGCACAGATTTTGATTGCAGTGGGTCCCTGGACAACCTGATCTTCAGAAAGTGGAGGCATTAATATACAGAAGACAAAGAAACAGGAAGGGAAGGCTGACCAACTTGCCTTACTCCATTATAACGCCAAAGCCCTGCTCTTATCTGTGCATGGCATCCCTCAAAATCTTTTTTTTTTTTTTTTTTTGACAACAGGAAGTTTGTGTTCTGCATGACTTATAATAGTTAGAGCAATAATAAGTAGAATATCACCAACTAATACATAATGCACGTCATCAGGAAAGACCAATCTCTAGAAAAGGACATCATGATGGGTAAAGTACAGCGTCAGCAAAAATGAGGGAAACTCTCAACAAGATGGATTTATACAACAGCCACGACAATGGATTCAAACATACCAATGATCATGAAGATAGCACAGGACTAGGCAATATTTTATTCTGTTATACATAAGGTCACAGTAAGTCAGAGCCAACTCAGTGAGAAGAAACAACAACAATAAAGTATAATGTAAAATGTATAGTTATCTCAATCGTCATACAGCCTTATGAGATCAATACTGTTACCTAGCATTTATAAATGAGGATACTGAGGAGCAGAGAGATTAAGTAACATACTCAAAATCACGCACCTGGAAATTACATAACCAGGGTTAGAACACAGACATGATGGTTTGACTCAAAAGCCCACATAGCTGACTCTATGCAATACTAGCTCAATATGTCATTTCCTAAGCCATCTTATAAAAGGGGACAAATAGCATGCTACCTTCTTTTTAAGACTTTACTCAAATGCTATCATCTTACTGCATTTTTTCAATCAGGTTCTACTGAATTTGGAACACTGAAATAGAATCTTTCCAATTTGGACCCACAACACTGTATTTATATCTCTCTATGAACAGTCATATATTATATATTATTATAAATACATTTATTTTTCTCCTACTGAATTTTGGAATTGAGAAAAGAACTCTCAAAATCATGATCCATTTCTCTCAATCTCCATCTCTTTCTTTCTATTATACCTCCTTTTATTTTAATGATGATTTTATTATAATATTTATATTTTATACTATAAAACTTTTTATTATGTGATAATGAAAAAGCCTTACATTCATACAAAAAATTAATTATGTAAAGTATGAATTATCACCTTCATTTTCTTAATAAAAAATATGAGATTCATAGAAATAAAGTGACTTGTCAAGGTCACACTGCTATTAAATGGCTCAGTCTGATTTAGTCTGGTTCTTCTAATTCTGAATCCACTGTTCTTTTTAGCCTCTGTTCATGTACTCTCTCACCTAGCTCAGTGAATGTTGGAAAGGAGATCCACAATAATGGTTTTATAAAATAATAAATGAATGAGTACATGACATAATGAAGGAAGGTCACTACATTGCATTTTGTGTGTGTGTCTGTGTGTGTGTGTGTGTGCAGTCTATTAACGTCCTCTTTTTGTCTCCAGAATAAACTGTCTGGGTGTTAAGACTGGGCTTTTAGAGGTTCTTGTGGTAGGCACAAAATGGTAAAACAGGAACAATTTATGATTTGGAAAAATAAATTACATTCTCCTCTAAGAAGCTGGAATTAATTTAAAATAAAATTCCTAAGAAAATGGAAGAACTGTATATTCATTTGATATTGAACCACCTACAATGTCCAGCAGAATAACGACTTTGTTAAGAGAAGGACGAAATTTTAATAAAATCAGGGAAACATCTGGATCAATTTCCCAGAAGAATCATGTGTAACTCCCCAGACTTACCAATCTGGCTTCATTTAAGACAGGAAGACCCATCAGTCCCTAGTGTGGGAGGCAATTATTGCTCTGTTGTATACTATAGATGCGAACACAGTAGTCATGAGTTTGGCTAATAATAATTATCTCCAGAAGAACACACATAACAAAGCAAAGATCTAGGGAGCTCAAACTGATGTTACAATCCACGCAAGGGAAATTAATATAATACTGCATAAGCTTCTGTCAATTCTACATTTTTAAGACACATTACTGTGTAATCCATTTTTTCACCAATATATCTAAGAACCTACTGTCTATATCAGGAACCATCCAGGCACTGAGAATAATGAACAAAAGAGGGGGAATAAAGGAAAAAACTCTTCCATGCAGTTTACAGTATAATTATAGAAGAGAGATAAAAATATAAAAATAAAATTTAAATATAGCACATTAAATATATGGTAAATTATTGTTATGAAAAAATAAATAGAATAATGAATATTACAGGGTAAAAGAGAGGCATGAAAAATAATAAATATTGAAGTATTAAAGAAGGATAATAACAGTTTTTATGCCACAGAAAAGCTAGAAGTTTGATTGCCTGTAGACATCCTCAGGTGATTTTTATCTTACTTATGGAGAGAAATTGATCTGCAGTTATAGTCTCAGAAATCTGACATTGGCAGAAGAAAGCAGAAGCTTTTTAAGAGATAGCATCATGGTAACTAAGTTCACAGGATATATTAATAATGCTAATTCAATACAAATAAAATGATTTTTATGCCATGGGAATAGCACTGCCTTGGGGACTGGACATTGAAGCATGTGTCCAACACATAATTCTCGTCACATACACTCACATCACAACACACATTCACATCACAATACACTTATGCACACATACTGGAAATCTCATTCAATCCAAAGGTTTCTGTCAAGCCTAGAATCAAAGCAGGGTAAATTAGTACATGATTTTAAAGGTTAACAGCATTAGGTTATGATAGCCTGATGTATCTGTCTTGATTGGTGTTGATGGCAGAGGAAACTCAGGCCAGAGTAAAGTCTTCCATGAAATGTTTTCCAATAGGTATTGACAACTTTTTGCTTCTCTGTTTTTCATGCTCCCATGTTTAAGCAGTCTACCTTCTGAGTGACCTAGTCCCTGTCTAACCCTGATAATTTAATTGATTAACTTACAGCCTGATTCTCTTTCTTGGAGTTTGGACCTCAAAAATGAATTTATTAGTAAGTGTACTTTGCATTTATCCGATTTCATCTATTATGGATTGCTTTACTGCTAACTTTTAAAAAGTTTCTAAGGCAGCTTGCTAATATATATGTAGACAGGTGTCTATACGTATTGTTTTGGATTGAATTGTGTCCCTCAAAATATGTATTGAAATCCTAGCCAATGCTATTATGATTTAATCTCATCATTGTATCAGTTACCTTTAGGTAGAGCACATTACCTTCCATAACACAATCTAATGTAATGTAATCACAGTGTGGGATCCTAAGCTTAATTACTTCTGAGTTATTAAAAAAAGCAGAATAGACACAGACACATACACACTGGGGAAGGCAGATGCCATGTGAGGATCACAGAGGAACCAAAGAACACCGGGCTACAGAAGCTGAAAGAGACGACAAGCTTCCCCTTGATCCAACACTTTAAACTCAGACTTCTAGCCTTCTGAACTGTGAGAAAATGAATTTATATTTTAAAGACACCCATGTGTGGTACTCCTATTACAGCAGCACTAGGCAACTAAGACATGTACATAAACTAAACAGTGATTATATAAAATCCACACTGAATTTTCACATAAAATGTTATAAATTTTCATTAAATTGTTTCCATAATGGTCTTTTGCTGATTAATTTTTTAATACTCACTGAGATACTCACTGAGATTTCCAAGTTATTATTTTATGTTTCTAAAAAATAAATGCTGCATAAGTTTTTGTATGTAAGATCTTGTATTAGACATTTAGAAGTAAATGAAATTTCACTGGAAACACAGGATAAAACTAAATAAATTATGGGTATGTTTTGCACACTTTATGATGAACTAAAGTGCCTCATACAGCAATAAAACATTGATATGATATTAAAAATTTATGTTAAGTTTTTACACCATGTGAAGGCTCTGGAGTTACTTTCCTGTTATATTGAAGAGTGGAGTTGGTGGAGCTCCTGAAACCCCATCCTCAAAACTCCCTTAATGTACTTGCCTTCGGCAGCCCACGCACTTTTCTCAAGCCCATGATGAGATAAGCACAACTTCTGCAAGCCTGAAAGAGCAAACAAAAGAGCAAGATAAAAATTGCTTAGAAACTCGGTAGACCAGAAAGAGAATAGAAAATTACCACCAAAAAATAAAAAAAATAAAAGCTTTTCTTGTTGACTATAGCTGTGGCAGAACTACTATCTGGCACAGGTCAAATTAGTTCTGAAGAAATGTGTAGGAAGGCACAATTTTCAGAAAATTGCATTAGAAACTAAGCAGGTGGGTAGGTTCTGTTCACTGTTACATAAGCCGATTTAGCTGTCATATTTGAAAGAGTTTAGACTGGCCAGATTTTCCAATTATATTTAACCAAAGTAGCACGATTCTCTAACATTCTGCTCACACAACCTAAAGCTTTATCTTCTCCCTTGTTCACTCCCTGTCCTTCTTTGTAGCCTTGTTAACTCACCAGTTTTCCCTGAACATGACTTGTGCTTCCTCATCTCTGAGTTTTTGCTCACTCTCTTGTTTGTGCCTAGAATGCTTTCTTTACCCACTAGCTCAATGGAAAGTCTGCTCATTTTTTAGAACTCAAAAAGCAACATTTTAAGTCACATCTTCACTTAGAAATAATCACTCCTTTTTAATAAGTATTTTTACATAAATGTATCCAGGCCTCACATTAGGCATGAAAGAGACCTAACAGGATGTAATGGAGAGTACATCCCCATTACCCTCTAGCTATGTCACCTTGCAGAGATTGTTGAAATCTTTAACCTCAGCTTTTTCTTTTTCAAAATAGGAATAATAATAACTACCTTGGAATGTTGTTGTAAAACTTAGGGTTTGCATATGTTAATTAGAATTTTTATATATTAAGTCCCCAGCATAGGTCCTGTTTATAGTAGGGATTCCGTAAATGGTAGCCATCAACAGCCTCTTATGCCTATAATTACAGTAATTCCTTTATCTTATGCCACCATCATTAGGCAATGAATTCCTTAAGGATACCTGCCATACATTTAATTCATTTCTGTATCATTGACACCATTTCCAATCTATCAGGATTTAGCACAGTGCATTGTACTTAGTAGGCTTCTTTATGTCTTTAAATGTTGACTAAGCTTATCAAATTAATATATTTCATAGGTAATTGTCATCATTCAAATTGTGTACTCCAAAAAGATATGTTGAAGTCCTAACCTCCAGTACCTGTGAGTGTGAACTTATTTAGAAACAGGGTCACTGCAGAAATAATTAGTTAAATTAAATGAGGTCATACAGGCGCAGAATGGGCCCTAATCCAATATGACTGATGTCCTTATAAAAAGAGAAGAGACATAGAGACAGACACATATAGAAAGAAGATGGCTATAATGAAGACAAAGGCATACACTGGAGTTACGCTGCCACAATCCAAGAAATGCCTGAGGCTATCAGGAACTGGAAAAGACAAGGAAGGATCTTCCCCTAGAGCCTTCAGAGAGAACGCAGCCCTACTGACGCCCTGAATTCGGCTTCTAGCCTCTGGACCTTAGAAAATAAATTTCTGTTGTTTTAAGCAACCAGTTTATAGTGCTTTGTTACAGCAACCTTAGGAAATTATACAGTACTGTACTCTTCCCACCCATTTTAAGTAGCATGACAACTGAATAAAATTGGTTTTACATAGTAATAGAAATAGGACTACCATTCTGTAATTTGTCTACTATTTATTCTCAAGTTTGAATGTTCTTATAAGAGTATGGGCTTATACAATATTGTATGGAATGTCTTCAAATACCAGTTCACGGGGTCATAAACTGAAATAGACCTTGGAGATTGTCTAATCCAGCACATCTTATTTCATAGATGAGCAAACTAAGGCCAAGCATGTGTAAGGGACTTGGTGTGAGATGTGAAGCTTGAAAGTCAGAGTGGAGACTTGAGCCTAGGTCTCTTCCTTATTCTTTCTTGCCAAACATTTCTGTGTCTTTGAAGAAGGATATTTACAGTTGCAAATTATGCTATTAATGTGATGAACCAGAAAAAATAGTTTTGGGGAAACATAGACCAGATAGATGTTAAGAATAGCCATAATAATTTTGAACTTAATGTCTTTAAGTAGAGATAGAATTTAAACTGAACTTCAAAAGTGGAAAGGATTGGGATAGGCCAAAGAGATTACAAGGTTATTTCAGGTGTGAGAAATAACGAGTTAAAGAATGGAACCAGAACAGATAGAGAGTTAAAGGCTTTGTGAGAGGAAGGAAAGGAAAATGAGAAGATTGGAAAAAACTTCATAGCTAATTGAACTACAGACCAGCAAATGCAGAGAATGGCACAATTACAAGGAAACTGAGCAACATATAGTGCTGCAACCCACTCATTTGAAAGTCATCAAAGGTAAAATACAGTCTCTTTTCCACTGTGTCGTTAACTACATCTGAAGGATCTTGAGGAAGAGACCCTAATTATTAAACGTAAGCTTTAGGGAGATTAATCTGACAATTGTGTGCAGAAGATTATGGAAAGTAAGGTAAGCATGGTGCTTTACCTTGCTTATGACATCATCTGTAGGGAACAATTTCACATTTTTCACCATATCAAAGATTCTGCATCAAGGTGTGACTGGCATCTGTCTGTCTCCCAACCCCACAGTACTTTTCTTCAGAATTAGAGCCTATTTTCAAATTTACAATACCTGACAGCGGCAGATTACCCAGTAAGCAAGGTAAGCACCGGCTTACTTTGGCTTACTTACTAATCTGTCAGTATTCCGCTTAGAATATAGACAACAGGAAGGAGTGTTGCTCTTGCCCTAACAACAAGAAAAACCTGGATAATCTACTGAATCATAACTTTCCTTCAATCAGAGAACGGAGATTTTATGGCATCAACTAGCCTAAAATTTAAGGAAAGATAGGCACCTCGAAAAGAGTTACGACATGAGAAAGGACTCATCTTAGACACAGCATGGGAGGAAAATGGGGCTACCATAAGAGAGGCTATATTCATTTCCCACAGCTGCTGCTACAAATTACCACAAACTGATTGGCTTAAAACAGCATAAATTTATTATCTCACAGTTCTGGAGTCTGTAAATCCAAAATCAAGATGTTGGCAAGGTTGGTTACTTCTGAACCCTCTGAGGAAGAATTGGGCCCATGCCTCTCTCCTAGCTTCTGGTGGTTATTGATAATCCTCGGTGTTTCTCGGCTTGCAGCTGCATCACTCCCATCTCTGCCTCTGTCATCTCATGGCATTCACCTTGTGTGTCTCTGTTTCCCTGTAATCTTCACATGGAATTCTTATCAGGACACCAGGAATTGGATTTAGGGCCCACCCTAATCCAGTACGATCTCATCTTAATTATATTTTCAAAGACTCTATTTCCAATACTTCTTTCCAGGAGAACTAGAAAAAGTTGAAGCAATAGGAAACTATATCAAAGTCTTTGACACATGGTGGCGAATAATGAGATCCACTGCAGAATGACTGACTCACTCATCAGAGAAGATAAGGCCCAGGACTCTAAGAGAACCACAGGCTGCTAGAACAATGGGGGGTGGCCTTTAAACTTCTTTTTGTTTTAAATAACATGGCATGAGACTTTTTCCTTAAGTAAAAGCTACATATTTAGAGATGGGGGGAAAAAAAAGAACTGATCTTAATTCTAATTTTGGAGGAAGGAGATTAGTCATTGAAGAAAATAATAAAGTATCTGAACAGAGAAATTAGGACAAAGGGAGATAAATATGACTCAAAGTCTTCTCCTACGTTGCATCTGGATGCATGTTCTACATATAACCCAGAAAAAAATGGAGCAAAATGGAAGCCACAAACCAATAATTCCATACAAGTAATTTCAATTTATATGAGATCAGACAGGGCATTTTTAGATTTTCAAAGGCTCATTAGGGCTAAAAATTTATATCCTTCATTAAAAATATATATAACATATGCATATATGTAGAAGCCCTGATGGTGCCGTGGTTAAGCACTTTGCTGCTAACTGAAAGGTTGGCAGTTTGAACCCACCAGCTGCTCTGCAGGAGAAACATGTGGCAGTCAGTTTCCATAAAGATTTATAGCCTTGGAAACCTATGGGGCAGTTCTACTCTGTACTATAGGGTTGCTATGAGTTGGAATTCACTTGACAGCAATGAGGCAACTAGATGCATATATACATATATGGGGCCCTGGTGGTGTACTATACACATACATACATACACACATATGTGTGTATGTATGACCATTATATAGATTAGCTATAGATTATATAAAATTGTGCACATCACAATAGAAAATACAACTTTTTAAGTACTTTCAGAACAAATACTTCAAAGTGGTTATTTTCTTCCACGGTTGGAACAATACAGTTACTTTATCCCCAGGAATTTTAAGCCTCAGAAATCATCTAAAATACCAGTATAAAGACAGCACATCCTATATTTCAGTTTCCCGGAAAGAGACAGTCATAAGGATTTAACTCTTATGGAATTACTTGTTACCTATTGCCATTGAGTTGGTTCCGACTCATTTAAATATTAGAATTTAAAGTTAAAAAACATTCAGTCTTAACAATTGAATGAAAGAAGAAACCAAGACACCATTACAGAGTCTAGTAATTCCTTGACCTGTATAGGGAGATTATTCTTGAAAAACAGTGTGAAACCCTACTGACAACTAAAAAGCACAAATTATATATTATTTCCTGCCTACAAGATTGCCAATATATTTTTAAAGATTGATATTAGTCAGGGTTACAATGTGTTGACAAATGAGTGCTTTCATACACTGTTGGTGGGACTTCAAAGTGGCAAATCCCATTTGAAGGGTAATTTGAATGTACCTTCAAAAACTAAAATTTTCCTTCTACTTAACTCAGTAGTCCCACAGCTGGGGATTTATCTTACTGAAATACATGCATAGAGACAAAAAGATAGATATACAATGATGCCTGTTTCCATATTGTGTGTAACAGTGAAAAACTGAAAAAAAATCTTAAAAAAATAAATTGTACTTCAAAACTGTACAATCCTTTGCAGTCATTAAAATTAATGAGATATATGTAGGTATTGA